AGCCCAGACATTCTGTGATTCTGTGTCCACTGGAGGGAGGAATAAGCCAATGCACTCACTCACAGCATATTGTGTGAAGAAGGGAGTGAGCTGACTGCAGAACCATGCTGTGGGAGAAGGTAGGACCCAGGTGATCAGTCCAATCCCAATTATATAGTAACTGCCAGGAGAGAGACCTGGAGTTGTTGAGCCTGGAGAAAAGGAGGCTCAAGGGAGACCTGGCTCTTGACAACTCCATTAAAAGAGGCTGGGGGCTAGGTGGAGGTCTTTCTCTTCTCCCAAGGAACAAGTGACAGGACACAAGAGGAAATGGCCTCAGCTTATGCCAGGGGAAGTTTACATTGGACATAAGGAAAAGTGTCTTTCCTGAAAGGGTTGTCAAGCCTTGGCCCAGGCTGTCCAGGGCAGTGGTGGAGTCCCCACCCCTGGAGGGACTGAAAAGCTGCAGAGATGTGGTACCGAGGGACATGGTTTAATGGTGGACCTGGCAGTGCTGGATTAATGATTGGGCTTGATGATCTTAAAGGTCTTTCCCTTGCCTAGTCACTCCAAGGCCCTCAAGTCCCTCTGGATTGTCCTCAGTTTTCTTCTTGCGAGTTCATCACTGCCTACCTGAAAAATCAGTAATGTGTAGTAATTGAAGGGCCACACAAGGGTAGGAAGTTTTCTCACCACATCTTTAATCCAGGCCCCAAGGAGGCAGCAGACTTCCCTAAGAAGTGGGTCTGGTCTGCATATTTGGCCTTCTGTTCCCTTTGGAAGGGAGTCGCCTATGGCAATGACCTGTCTTTTTTTTTCCTTTGTAGAAGTAGTTTTGATGTAGGGCATCAGCCATTTTATTTATTGTGACACTTCTAAGCTAGTCATATCATTGTCCTCGTTATTAGGCTCCACTTGCAAGGCCTCATACTTGTTATACAAGGGCACTTGGGAAGGTGGGGTTGATGCTGAGGGGGAACACAGGGATTGGATTGGGTGATTTCAGGAGGTCCCTTCCAACCTTAATGTTCCTGTGATTTCTGTGAAATAAAAAAAGATGCAGAATTATGGTTCACAATCTGTCCTAGGTTAGATTGGAATACTCCCTCACCACATTCACAAATTGTTACTGAGACTAATGATTAATGTACGAATTATTCGGTTTATTGAAACTCTGCACAAATTGTGGGGCCGAGGTTCAGCAAAGGCAGTCCGTGTATATCAAAAAGAAAAGTCAAGGGTACTATGGTCTGGTAAGTGTACTCTCCGAGGGAGAGGTGTAGAATCAGTGAAGAGAAAGGATAGGAGTTGAGCCCAGCAGAAAGGTTCAACAATATGTAGATGTGTGGATGCGTGTGTGTGTATGGGGAGAATGCAGGCGGTCCGGGGGGGTGGCGTCCTGGTGGCTGGGGTGACCCCCAGGAGCAGACAGGGTTGTGCCCTTATCTGAGTCCGTCTCAGTTCAGCCTTGGCTAAATCAGCAAAAAGGCACTTCGCTTGCTCTGCTGCCTCGAAAGGCGTTTTGGTTAGTCTTATGTGGGGGAAGGAGAAAATGGACCGTTCCCCACAGGCTAAAATTGAAAGTGGTCTTGAGGTTAGAGAAACAGTTTAAAAAGTATAGTGTTAGGTGATGGCTGGACTTGACCTTAGAGGTCTTTCCCAACTTTAATGCTTCCATGAAATTGAAGAGTTAGTTAAGAAGAAATATTAGCACAGTGGAAAGACAAAGAACAACTTCCTACGTGTCAGTTCTTCTGAAGAGGATTTGAGATTTGTAAGAGGTCAAAAGCTGAACAGGGACTGGCAAGGTCATACTGATTTTTAAAAAGGCAGATGTTGTACTGAGATGTTAGAGCAGCGATGTTGACTGTCAGACATGTGAAGTAATTCTTACTCTAACGGAGGGTCACACTTGGAGTGCTGTGTCCAGCAGTGGGCACTGCAGCTCCAGAGCTGTGTGGAGCAGCTGAAGAGAACAGGGAGAGAGGAGCAAACAGTGTAACTGTCACGCTCCGCTCCACTCAGCAGACGTGTGGTGGTTCATCTGCTGTGATCTCAAAGTGCAAAAAGCCAAAGAGGCATTTTACTTCAATCTAACAGTGAAACTTTATTGTTTTGCCGGTAAAGTGGCATGTGATAGGTAAAAGAGTGACAGGAAAAGTAAAGGTGGGGAAGAGAGTGATAGCTCCCACCACGGGTCCAAGGCGTCCCTGTGGTCCCAAGTCCAGGCAGTGTCTTGCTGATCCTTCTGATCATCGTGATCCTTCCTCGGGGGCGAAAGCTTCCAAAGTTTGGTTGCTAAGAAGCCATCTTTTATGCTAGGTGAGGCACCTTTCTCCTTCTCTGTCCCATGGACTCCTGCCAATCTCCACCTTTCTCAAGCAAAGCTACCAGGCATGCCCAGGGAGGAGTGTCGGAGGCGTGGTCTGCCTTAGAGGCAGGTAGCTTTTGGCCAGGAGGTGTGTGTTCATATTATAATGATATTATGATGAGCAAAGTTCACCCAAAGGTCGCTATTACTTCATCAACACTGAGACAGCAGTTGTGACTAATGTTCCTTGATGGCAGCTAGGCTATTGATAATGGCAGCTAGGCTATTGATAATAGCAGCTCTGGCTCCCCCAGGTAGCAGAGAGCAGCACAAAAGAACATTTCTGAATGAGTGCCTTTAAGACAGCAGACTAAATAGCAGCCTCCTAGCAAAAAAATCTTTTCTCTTTTGTAACAAGACTCACAAAATTAAGTCTTCTGGTCTTTCTTGTTTGTGTTATAACAGGAAAAAAACAGCAAACTGGAACACAACAAAACTCCAGAACGAAAGGCCACTCTGTTCAGAAAGAACTGGAAACCTATGGCACAGGTAAGAAGCATTGCTCAGAATTGTTTATAAAGCAGGTAAAAGATAAATGTGATTCTAGGATTTGAATATGAGCCACCACTGTGTTTCTGGTGTTTCCTTTTTCCTGTTCCCTTTCCTGTGGACAAGGAAGAGCTGATTGCTCTCCTTTTGGCACCGTGTCAGTACTGCAGAACAAGACTGGAGGGACTGTGTACTGCCTAATAGTGTCATTCCACACAGTTTTACCACTGCATAATGGAACAGGGAAGGGGAAATCACTTTCTGAACTGAGCAAAAGCCTGTTAAAATAGTCTCACTATAACACTCATAAAAATATTTATACTTTTTTACTCAGCAGGGTATGTTTGCAGGGAAAACGCTACTGTTGCTGCCAAATCACTTATTCTGGTAACCTGGTAGCCAGAGACCCAAGCAGTCCAGCCTGGAACAATAACATTAGCCTTGACTCAGCAAGTGGAATGACTTGGTATGTGTAGATTACAGCACTCATTAAGTACCCCAGTTTTTTGCCAAGTGCTGTTTGATTCACAGACTTTTCGCCCAGCCACCTGGGGAGGGATGACCCTTGCCTGTTGTTACTGGGCAAAGAGGAAAGCCTTCAGGTGTTTTGATGAGAAGAATTCAGGCAGGTGACTGCTAAGCTGTTTTCTTCCCAGAACCCATCTCAGTAATAATCCTTATGGGTTATGCCAAGCTTTTGCTTGGCATTTCAAGAGCTCAGGAACTGGAGACCATGGCAACACAGGGTGCATTTCCTTGGCTGCTGAGTAACTTGGCAGCTCTGTGGTGGTGAAGCTCTGTTCACTTTCAGTTCCAAAACTGCTGGCTAACATAAGTGGAATTCTGAAGACCTGGTTAGTAGAACTGAACTGTGGACTTGGTCTGAAACTGTTCAGTCACACCTGTGACTAATTCAACTGTGAAAACCCTTTTGCTGAAAGAGTTTACTCTCCGTGCTAAAATAATAGTGATAGAAATGAATGAATGGAAAAACTCTGCTGAACAAGTGGAATAACACTTCTCACAAGGGGATGGTAGGATTACAGAGCCTTTATAAAATGATCTCCCAGAAGAAATGCTGTGTGCCTCATCTTGTGACATATTTGAAGTTGCACATGAGCTAAACCTATTGAAGTGTATCTGGACACAATTTTGGTAGCATGCGACCTGTTTCCGTGTAGAATTCATTGTGCACATTGAATGAAAAAAATAAAAGATACTTTGTTTGCAGTTCTGTTGCAAACCTTTTGCTTTGACAGGTAGTATGGAGGAGCGGTGGTCTCTGGAAATTCAGGACAAAGGCCGAGTTACCTGTCCAACGTGCCGGGCCGTGGTGAGGAAGACTGTAGAAGGACTGAAGAAACATATGGTAAATTGCAGGCAGGTAAGAACATGAGAGATGAGTGATGTTTTCTTTGTCTACAGCTTACTCATAGAAGTGCCTGCACACTGTTTTGTCTGGTATTTAAAAAGCTTCATCTCATCATCATGTCTCTAAGCAAGAGTCCTTTATACGTCTTTGAGAGGCTGTGCTTGGTGCTCCTTGCTTAGCATTTTGCTGGAGGTTTGGGGTAGTGAACAAAGGTGTAGTTATTTTGTTGTTCCCTTAAATTTTAGGCTCCATGAAGTCTCTTATGTTCTTAATGGGCAGTTACCAGGCCCAAATAAAATGTTCTGCTCTCCTGCTTTTTTCTCCAAAGACTTTCCCACTGGTTTGCTTAATATACAGTTGCATGCACCATTTCCTTGTTTATTTCTAGGAAATGTTCACATGTCATCACTGTGGGAAGCAGCTGAAGTCCTTGGGAGGGATGAAATACCATGTCATGGCAGACCATAACAATCAGGTAATGCAACTTCTGTGTGTGCCTAAAACTCCTACAGGCAAGACAGTCTTGTTGCTTGCCTGGTACACGCAGAGACAGAACATGCTGTGTTGTTTCAAATGTGGTATCTGTTCCAGTTTTGCCTGCCTATTATTTTTCCAGATTTGACATCTGAAAAAACAGTAGAATGTTACCAGAAATGGTAGGCACACTGCATTTTAGAAAGAGGGGATAATTTTCTCTTTAGAGTGGTTATGTGTCACATATAAAAGGCATTCTCAGTCAGGAAAAAAAAAAAGATTGCTTATTAGGCTGCAATTTTCAGTCCTTTTCTAGAAAAGTAGGACTTCTATGCCTGGAGCAGGCTAGATTTTAGTCCTTTACAAGCTCACAGGTAGAGAAGCAGAAGCAGCAGTTTAGTTCTTGTCTCTATTAACTGTAAAGCTATTAATGCTACAATCTGCTTTTCCTCTTTGCAATTACTTTAAAGAAGGCTATGTCTCCTGTTATAGCTGTGAAGAATTAGAACTTTTGAAAAGGTCATTCAGAAGTTTGGGTAAGGTTTAGGTAATTAGTTTTTTTTTTTTTACATAATGATCATGTTCTAGCCCAAAGCAATAGGTCTGACACTCAGTTCTGACTTCTTATTCAGTCTAGGTGTAGTATTGTGATAAGGTAGTGTAGGAAATAATATACAAGGCCCATCAGAGAGAGAATAGAGAAGAACTTGAGCTGCAGTTTGGCACAGGTGAACAACTGTTACAGGCACTTAGCCTCACGGAGGCTAGGCAGACTAAGTGAAAATGGTAGGATCAGTAAACGTTAAAGATGAATGAGAGAGACAAGTAAGAGCCTTCCACAGGCAGAAAGGGAAAGTAATTATGGAAATACATACCCTTGTCCTTCCAAGCAGCTATAGTTCAACCATTTCTTATCAAGGTTTTGCTCAGAGATAGTTATCTCAGTGCTAAACTCTTACCTACAAAGCAGTTTTCAGGCAGTTTACTCCTTCTAAAGATAATACAGTTGCTCTGGGATATAGATAGTGATCATTGTATTAGATACGCCTATAAAATAATAGGTTGCAGAGATTTAATTATTTTAGAAGCTTTCCTTCAGTAGCATGTTGAGTGGTGAATTCCCTTTGAGAACTGTAAATACTGAGCATCCTGTGCATTTCTTTCACCTTTCTGCTGTGCTTTAGCCAGTGGTGAAGGAGGGAGGAGAACTGGATGAGCAGCTTGAGCGAGACCGCCTTCGGAAGGTTTTGAAGCGTATGGGAAAGCTTAAGTGTACAAGGGAGGTAAGCTGTGCTTTGCCAAGTGTTCTTCATGAAACAGTAGGTGATGCATGAACATAAAATATTAGGAGAGTTCTACAGGATATACTTTGGTGCTGGCCAAGGCTGGATTTGTTTCAAGATACTAGCTACGCTTTTGAGTGTCATGGAATCATGAAATGGTTTGGGTGGGAAGAGACCTTTAAAGCTTGTCTAGTCCATCCTCTCTGCAGTGAGCAGGGACAGCTTCAACTATAGCAAGTTGCTCAGAGCCCCATCAAACCTGGCCTGGAATGTTGCTGGGGATGAGACATTGAGCACCATTCTGGACAGCCTGGGCCAGGGTCTCGCCACCCTCAACAAAAACTAGTTCTTCCTTCTGTCCAGTCTAAATCTCCCTCTTTCAGTTTCAAACCATTTCTCCTTGTCCTGTCATGACAGAAAATGCTAAGAAGTCCCTCCCCATCTTTGTTATCAGCCCCTTTGAAGTACTGAAAGGCTGTGAGGTCTTGAGTAATATATATCAGAGAATCATAGCATCCTTTAGGTTGGAAGGGACCTTCAAGATCATCAAGTCCAACCATTGAGCCATTAGGGCTCTAAAGTCCTCTGCTAAAACAGATCAGAATCTGTCAGGGTTGGAAGGGACCACAAGGATCCCCCAGTTCCAACCCCTCTGCCATGAGCAGGGACACCTCCCACTAGATCAGGCTGCCCAGAGCCATTACTCCTGAAGTCTCCTCTTCTCCAGGCTGAAGAACCCCAACTCTCTCAGCCTGGCCTTACTACAGAGGTACTCCAGCCCTCTGATCATTTTTGTTGCCAATAGCTGTATCCTAGCAATAGCTGAAAGTTCTGTTTACCTTCACTCTAATATTGCTGTGTTGTAGACATTTTGATCAGCGAACTAAGTATAAAACTTTCCCATTTTTCTGCCCAGCTCCTCCATTTGTATCAGAAAATCTTGGGTTTGTGCATCCTCATTTAACATCTTGTTTCTTTATTCCAGATACTGAATTTTTCTGTTGCACACTACCTGCAAAGAAGTTCTAAGTAACAGTTTCTCTCAATGGCAGCTAATTCTTTGTCCCAGATTTTGTCTGCCTGAATAGACTAACAATAAGGCTTACTCTCTGATTGTCCCTGGTCTGGCAGGAAAAGTAATTGTACTTTGGTCAGCAAACTGTGGATTCTGTACACCGTAGTCTTGTGATCACTTGGAGAGCATTTTTCTTCCATACATTTTTCTTCTGCATTGACAGGGCTGCACAGGCAGCTTCACTAGCATAATGGGATACCTGTATCATGTTAAAAAATGTGGGAAGGCTGCTTCTGAGCTGGAGAAAATGGCAATGAAGTGTCATCACTGTGGGAAAGCATACAGATCAAAGGCAGGACTTGTCTATCACCTCCGATCAAAGCATGGGCCGGTAAGTGCAAATTGCCGTAGTCATCAGGATGGTGGGTGGTACTTCAGCCACCCAGGCTTGAGGCACACACACACTTCTGTCTGCTGCTTGGGTGCATAATTAGGGATAGCAGATCCTTGCATTTTTATGTCTCTGGAGTATTCAGTCCTTGATACTTTCTTACCAGCAGCAGCTGTTGTTGCTCTCTCACTCCGATGAGGTTTTTAATAGTAAATCACCACAACAGCAGTAAACTTTCCCCAGCCTGATTTCTGCTCCATGGAAGAATGATGCTGCCTGTGTAACTTGTGAGATGCTTTTCTTTGCTTTTAAAACACTGGAGCAGAACAGGCAGTACTATGCTTCTTGTCCATAAGGTGCTAGAGCAAATTATGTGATGTCCTTTCAAGACCAGTGACTGCATGAAGCTCTCTGTTTGAGCCTTACTGTTCTGACCCCCTGAGTAGATTTGGGGTCTGTCTCACTGTACGATGTGCTTCTGTCCTGTGTCATGACAGTGAAGCACAGCTGCAGCAGCATTTTTGCAAGGGATTTGACAGAGTGCTTAGGCACAGTATTTAGTGCAACTGAAAGAGGAACTAGTGAAGGAGGCTCACCTTCTTTGGCCTTCATTGCAGGTCACTTTCATCCAGGAGGAGAGGAGAACAGAGAGCCTAAAGGAAATAAAACGGGAGCCAAACAACGCAGGCAGAGTTCAGAGGAGATCTGCAAAGGTGGCAATCTACTATCTCCATGAGCTGGCTGGAGAAGAGCTGGCCAAAGAGTGGCCCAAGAGAAAAATTCTGCAGGACTTGATTCCGGATGACCGGAAGGTACAAGGCCTTGAAAATGCTTGATAAGGGTTTGAGTCTTTCTTCACAGAAGATGAGTCTTGCACTGGCATCAGCCTAGTGTTGCCAGTGTTTAGTGGCTCAGGGAAAGCAATACTGGAGAAGAAGTATCTTGTGGGAGGGATGAGGTTTTGTTCTCTCTGGTCTTAGATTGCAGCATTGCTACAGTACCAGTTGCTGTGCTGTAAGTATTTTATCCAGGCAGGATATAATAATAGAATCACTATGGTTGGAAAGGACCTCCAGAATCATCAAGTCCAACCTTCATCCCAGCATTTCCCTAAACACTAGACCAGAGCCTCAAGTGTTACATCTACTCGTTTTTTTGAACACCACCAAGCATGACAACTCCACCACCTCCCTGGGGGGCCTGTTTCAGTGCCTGACCACTCTCTCAGTAAAGAGATTCTTCCTAATATCCAATCGAAACCTCCCCCGGCACAACTTGAGGCCTTTTCCTCCCGTCCTATCATCAGTAATTTGGGAGAAGAGACCAACACCAGCCTCACTACAACCTCCTTTAGGTAGCTGTAGAGAGCAACAAGGTCAACTCTCAGCCTTCTCTTCTCTAGACTAAGCAACCCCAGTTCCCTCAGACAGGCTTCCTAAGGCATTTCCAGACCTCTCACCAGCCACACTGCCCTTCTCTGGACCTGCTCCATCACCTCCATGCCCTTCTTATCCTGTGGTGCCCAAAACTGGACACAGGACTCAAGGTGCACTCTCACCAGTGCCAAGTCCAGGGGCACAATCACCTCCCTACTCCTGCTGGTCACACCATTGCTGATCCAGGCCAGGATGCCATTGGCCTTCTTGGCCACCTGGGCACACTGCTGGCTCACGTTCAGTCTGCTGTCCACCAACGGGCCCAGGTCTTTTTCTGCCAGGCAGTTTCCAGCCACTTCTCCCCAAGCCTGGAGCGTTGCCTGGGGTTGTTGTGGCCCAAGTGCAGGACCCGGCACTTGGCCTTGTTCAGCCTCATCCAACTGACCTCAGCCCTTTGCTCCAGCCTGCCCAGACCCCTCTGCAGAGCCTCCTGTCCTCCAGCAGATCCACACTCCCACTTAATTTCATGTCATCTGCACATTTACTGAGGGTGCATTTGATCCCCTCATCCAGGTCATTGATAAAGATGTTAAACAAGACTTTCCAGTCCTATGAGTTTATGGTCCTATTACTGTAATTTTCAGTGGGCACAAGTTAACAAAAGCAGTTGCAGGCCCTGTGTAGCTCACAAGGCATAGGCTGCAGATCTTGCTGCCATGCAGTGATATTTCAGAGTTTTTCAGGCTTTTCAGTTACCAGGAGCATCTGATAGGCTGTAAACAAGACCCAAGGGAAAAGGGATGATTTATGATTTTGATGGGTAAGTACATTTAGAGGAATCTTTGTAGTCAAAGTTATGGTAAGTTTTGGGGGTTTTCCAGGTTTGGTTAGGATTTTTTTAGAGAGTCAGTGAGACAGGAAAAGATGGGTTACTGAGAGTTCAGCTATTAGAGTAGGAGAAGAAATAGCACTTCTGTCTTACAGCCAGGGAGAGAAAGGACATACTTGCACTATGTGTAGCCAACATTGCTTCCAGCTTTCAATTCCATCTCTTTATCTCAGCTGAAATATACTCGTCCTGGACTGCCAACATTTAGTCAAGATGTGCTGTGCAAATGGAAAACAGAGATAAAGATGTACCGAAGAGTTCACTGTCCAAATCAGGTAATCCTTATGTGTTTCTGAAGCCTCAAGGGTGACAGATTTCAGGTCTGTATGAACCAACAACTTTCCATAACCTTGAAACTGCAGTGTCTCTGCTCCATCTCAGTATGGTTGGTTAGTGCAACCAAGATGCTATTTGGACTGTCACCCTAGGGATGATTCCTTTGGGAATGTGTTTGTCTGCTTTGGTGTCAGACTGGTACAGCTTCCACATCCAGCTGGGAGCTGGTCCGTGTGGAGGTTTGAACAGTGGAAAAATGACAGGCCCTAGCCTGTCTAGCAGGTGTCCTAAACGTAATTATGGAAGGAGGAGCAGAATGGGAATGCAAGTGTAGAGGATTCGTCTGTGTGTGAACACTGCTGTCTGTGTTCATCTGGCACAACATTCAAGTTTTCTTTTGAAAGCTGGAAATGAGTTGCAGAGGACTCACTCAGGGCACTGTCCTCCTGGTCTAGGGATGCCTGTGCATGTGCACTTAGATTCTTACAGTCCTAGGCAGCAGTCACCAGTCAGATCCAGTGAAAAGAAGTGGCCTCCTTGGTGGAAACCATAGTAAAGTGATGCACACTGCTGGAGAGCCAGGGGGCAGTGGGGCTTCCACCTGGGTTTGGTGTCCAGACGATGTCCCCCCCCTGCCC